CCTCTTTTTTATCTCCGTTTTGAATCTCATTGACCTTAAAACTGGTAGAACTTTATTCCATAGTGCAAAGTGATCTGAATTTGGTTTTACACAATTTTTATAAATCTTATATGTTTTCTTATAAGAACCTCCATTAAAAGAATCAAACAATTGATCAAACAGGAGAAGTATATCTGCCGTATCTTCACATTTTTGTGGCAGCAACTTATTTTCTGCAAAGAAATAAAATGTTATGAGCACTTTTCAAATAATAAGCAATAAAATGTTTGACGTAAGAGTTAATACAAGTAAATAAGCGATAAAGAGATATCTTACAAAAAATAATTTCAACGTTGAATATTAATTAACAAATTATATATACGTACTTGCACAAAATCGTAAAGCTCCTGATACTCGTTGGCTAAAAACTTGAGCTGCATGTTTCACCTTCATTTTGGGAATTTTTTCAGGCATAACATGCATTTCTGTAAGCTTATTACACATTCTTAACTCATCTTCTCCTGCATCAATTTCCAACAGTAATTTTAAATGTTGCCATTTTACTATTTTTACTTGGTCGTTCTGGACATACCTTAAGTCCTTTGATATTAAATTATTCCTCACACCTTTTAATAAATGTCGAATAACGGGAATATATGATGATTTTCTATTTGAAAAGCATTGCTCCTGTGTTCTCTACCCAGTCTCAAATATTCTGCATTTGTCTCTCTTAATAATTCATTTACTACCTTTGTGTTAATTGTTGATTGGTCACACACAGTTGCAACAACAATTAACCCTGCCTGAAATATTTCTTTGATGATACTCTTTATTAGTTTTTTAAGAACTGTTGCATTTGTGGCACTTTTGCAAAAAGCAAAGCAAATAGGTTGCTTATATTGAATTTTTACACCCTTTAACATAAACACTAAAACATGATCAGCAATATTATCATTCTGATCATTTTCACCAAAATCTTCAAAGCCGACTATTTGATCTAAAGCTTTATCATACTGTAGTGATGGTGAAAGCGACATCTCATCAAACATTAACAAGCATAAGCGTTCTTCCGTATTAAATTTTTGTGCTGCATCTTTTATTTGACGGAATACTATTGGGTTTAGACCTGCTTTCAAAGTTATTTTTTTAAGCACATCCTGCAATGTCCTCTTTGAGGGCAAGGTAAATAATTTTCTTAGAAAATTATAGCCTTTGGGACTTCTTTTATAAATCGACAAAGCTAATAATTTTTCTTCAATATTAAAACGCCTTCCACGGTCTCTTTTATTATGCTGAGTTAATTGCATATTTAGCAATTTGATAATGATTTCAGAATCTTTTGAAATAATTTTGTCTTTGACATTTTTTCTGCTGCTGTTATTTGACTTTTTTGGTCTTTTATTTTTTTCTTTAATAACAAGATTTTATTTATTAATTTATTAATTTTTACACCCATACGTTTTCTTTTAATCAATGTACCTGAAAAAAGTATGACAAAATGTAAGCATATAGAGATCAGACGAAATAATGACAGCATAGTTCAGATTGTATTGGAATCTCCTTTTAATGAAAGATTTTTAATAACAAATTCTGCCTTATAATTATATACAGTAGAAACTCGATTATCTGGCCCTCAGTTATAGTTGTTTTAGTTAGCTAGCAATTGTTACTGTTTTTACCTTGTGATTGATACTATTAAAAGTGTGTTGGTTACTTGACTTAAACTATCAAAATTCTATGATATGTGTTCATTTTTATACAAAATGAAAATAATTCCTGAAAGATCAAAATGCCTGTGTTGATTTGTAACAGATGGGCATAATGTGATTTGTCTCGTTGTAAATTGGTTCAGGAACTTATGAGCTTGAACCCATTATTTAAAGATCTTTAATCAGCAGAGCCACATAAAGTTCTCAGACTTATTAAAAATAATGATTGGCAGGATATTTTTTTCAAAAGACAGACAGTACTTTGTATCATGCTGACTATACCTGTACTATTACTGTCGCTAAATGGAAACATACTTATATTACATTAAAACAATTAAAATTTACCTATGTTTCTACTATGTGTCAGGAAAGACTGTCATATCTTGGAATCTTTTCCACAGAAAATTCTATTGCTATAATAAATATGAACCAGAAAGCTGGCTATCTAGACTTTTCATTAAGTTTGTTGTTGGAAGTTCAGTTAGTTTATCTTTTTTGACACTGTCTGCAGAACAACAGTTTAAATAAAAGTTGTCAAACAAGATTATTAACTCTTATTATGGGAAATAATCTGTACAACTAGTCAACGTAGCAAGGCAAGCATAGTGCCATTGTCGTGAGCAACAATAACAGCAATGCAAATAAGTAGAACAACTGCTATGGCAGGAGCAACAGACACAACTGTGCTTAAACATATACACCTGTAGATATTTGATACATCTAATACTATTTAAAATCACGTCATAGTAGAGGAACACTAAGGTTTTGTATTTAGAGGGGTGTCACTATGAGATCCCGCTCCACCTAAAAATTTTGTTAGGGCTGCCACTGCTAGGGCTTTATAACCACTTACCACTGGGTGGGGTTGTAGTAGTTATTGTAGGCAAGCTATACACTGATATACCAATAATAAGTAAAAACTAAAAGTTTGTTTGATCATCTTTACGAATATTACAACTGTTATATTCTTTAGTCTGCACTGTTAAAACAATTGCTAGTTAAATTGACAGTGAAAAAACTTTTATTAAGAGTTACCAAGGTTAAGACTGGGGTATGCTGTTTTAGCAAGTCTTTTGATCCGAGGATATATAAAACGATCTTCGAAGTGCCGATTACAAATACGGTAATTAGCATAAATATGAAGATCGGTTTTATTTTTCAAATTGTTTCCAGCTATCCTCGTCCATAGCCGAAACCTTTCAAGTGACGGGTACTTCGGTATTGGAAATTTGTGTAATATATCTGAAATGATAAAATATAACATTATTTTCGAGGCGAGAGACGGAAACTGGGGTCGGCTTTAGTAACCTGCTGCATGATTTAAGCGATTATTTTAGCTTTAGTTGACAGGCAATGATGCTATTGATTACCATTTAGCTGCTTTTTATGCCGGAAATCTTTATTTTTCGAGATATCGATAGTTAAAATTTTGAGGTTATATCGAGTTGGCTAGACATCTGGTACTTGATTTTGATAATGTTTTTAGTCTAGGAGGCTTGTTAGGGTTAATCTTAAACCTACTACACTGCTTTTAGATATCGGAAATGCATTTTGAATTAAGATAAAAACAAATTTCACCAAAAATAGTGTAAAAGTCAATTTGTTCTCATATTATGAAGCAGATTTCCGATACTTGATTTTTTTAATTATGTTTTCAATTTAGGAGGATTGTCAGGGTTAAGCTCGAACCATTTACACTGTTTTTGGATTTCAGAAATGCCTTTTGAATTAATTACTTACGATAAAAATAAATTTCACTTTAAATTACATATAACAAAATGCAAATATGTCAGTTTGTTTTCTTAACACAGATACACTCATAAAAAAGTTTATCACTCGGACCCAGACAATCCATTTGTGGCTGGAGATGGGACTTATATACAACAAATTGAGTTGCAGTGGATAGCAGTCAAGAGGTTTATCCGAAAACAAAATTATAACAATTCACATTACATTATTTCATTCACCACTCTAGTAGGAGAGTTAAGAGCAACTAGACTTTATAGATAAAATAGGTCGAATCGGTTCTAAAACCGAATTAGCACACCCCAACTCCACATAGTCTTGTCTGCCCTACCCCTAGTGTTTTTGTAAAGCCGTAGGCACGGAGGGAGAGCAGCCCCAGCCCGCTGTAGCAGATAGGCTTGGCAGAATAACCCGCCTGCCAAGCGTGGCAGCTATGGCAAATAGTACCTACGAGGCAATGCGTGGGCAGCCTATGCATAGTGGACTTTTAATGATTACAGCCCATGCCTTGAACTTTCAATTTCTTACATAATAGCTGTTTACAAGTGAATAAAATCCGTAAACTATGCGAATATTACAAAAATAACTTACCAAATTTGTCACATTTGAAAACACACTCCTTCCGTGACATTTTTAAAAAGATTAAGACCCGATTTCACCAAACTATTCTTAATTAGCCATTAACAAATGTTCTGTTAAAATTGACGTCGACGTCAAAAAGGTTTACGTTCTATAGAGGCATCATAACAAGGCGTTGCTAAATCAAACATCAAGTAGATATTATCTATGATCGAGTGAACAAAAACGACAAGTTTGACTTGTCATTCTCTCGCACTTCACTCTCCTTATTATGCAGGCAAATCAAAATGTCATGGTGCCCATACAAAATGTTCTGTAGACAGTGTAATTCTATGTTGGTCGTCTAAAACGTCATATGTTTTCGGTTTCGCGCTTGTAGATTTTCACAGAGTAAATTATATATACCTGGATTTTGTTCTGTGGTGGTTTATAATTCTTTCAATTAGTAAGTTTTACTTAATTTGTGTTGTAATATGTCGAAAAAAAGTCGCGGCCCTAATTTCTGCGCCAGTGAAAAAAGGAATTTTAATAGAACTTATCCTAAAATATAAAGATGTCGTAGAAAACAAAAAAACAGATGCTGTGACGATTGCTCATAAAAATGAGGGTTGGAAGGTGCTCACGGAAGAATTCAATTCCCTGAGCAGTTTCAATGTCCGAAATACGGACCAACTTAGAACGTGTTGGGATAACCTCAAAAGAACGACAAGGAAAGACAAAGCTGCCACAAAGAAGGAGATTTTCTTAACAGGTATGATATATTTGTAACTTAATAACACGTTATACTTTCAAAAATTCTAGCGCAGTAATAATTTATTACCTTTATTTCGAATACCTAACTTTTCTTGACTGTAAACTCTCACCTAAATTCATTCTGTGGTTTCCTCCTAGTCTGCGAACAGAAATGATTGTAGTGATGCCTAATGACTACTTACGCTCCTTTTTAGTGTTTACACTGTTTCATAATCTATACTTTGCTATTTCTAGGTGGAGGCAGGCCCAATCATCCACCACCAGGGCCTTTACAAGAGCAAGTAGAAATATTACTTGGCCCAACATTAGATGGTCTTGCAAACGAATTTGATAGCGATGGTCAATTTCAAGAGTCTGTCACAGCATCTAATAAAGTGAAGGAAGATTCAGCAGAAATATTACCGACCATTGTATTATTAGATGCAGTACCTGGCTGTTCAACTGTGGTAATTATAAACATACTAGCCAGTTCTCTATGGCCTTTAATTAACGTATAATAGTGTATATTTTAACACAGAACATGTGCATAAAATCCATGTAAATGTTCTATAATAAATTACTTATATATATTATTTACTATATATATATATATTATAACACTTATTATAGCACATTTTCATGGATGAGTTTAACTACCAACTTAATTATAACAACTGAAACAAATTTAAAGTAGATTTTCAGATTAGCCCAAACAGACTTTGTTTTATGATATATAAAAATGTATTTTAATACGGATAGTTTTTATTTCTAATATATATATATTATTTTCAGATTGAGCAAGTTGGTTCCTCAGGACTGAATAGCTCTCAGGGTGATTCAGGGGAGTTAAATAAGGAAACATTTGATGGCTCAAGTCGTCGTGAAGTTCAGGTACCTATCTCATTATAAATATTCATCACTTTTTCACCGCACCCATGGAAGATAGCCTAGACTACAGATATCATGGATGGATGATGGGATATATTAATAAACCTACTTTTTGTTTTAGGATAAGGATAATATTTGGCATGGTTGGTCTCCAGCTGCACTTAAAACTAAAATGTCAGATGCACTAATTACAAAAAAAAAGGGGAGCCCAACATGGCTTCACAGGAGAAGACCAAGGGCTTCAATAGCCGACAGTTTACTGACTAGCAAAATAGAATTAGTCGAAATTTTGAAAAAAAATGCACAAATTGAGGCTGAGAAAAAAAATTTATTGCTCGATGAGCAACTTAAACAAGAGAGAATTAAAACGGAACTGTTAGAATTACAGTTATCTTTGGCAAAAAATGTTAATAATGTAAATAAGAAATAAAAGGGAGGTTACACTATAAAATGACTTTTATTTATAATGATTGTAAATGCAAACTTCTGAAGTAATTATTAATAAGACTTCTGCGCACAGGATTTATGTCTCTGTTTATGTTATCACTATATCTGTGCTCTCTAATATGCCCTTGTTCTATTAAATCTTCCCAAGGAGCCGGTAGTTTTATTTCCGGATCATCAGATGGCAAATCTTCATTTGCTTTTATTAAGATGTTGTGCAACACAGCCGTAGCAACAATTATAGGAAGGCAATTTTTTAACTGTACTTGTATACCTAATGCAAGTACTGGGAATCGACGTTTCCATACTCCAAACAGGCGTTCAATGGGGTTCCTGCTTCTTATTTGAGATTCATTGTACAATCTCTCCTCTGGGGTTATTGGATTCTGTAGTGGCATCATAATGTATGGTCGGTTCATATAGCCACTGTCTGCTAAGAGAAAGGCATCACGGTATCGACCACTTTCAAATATAGTGCTTCTGTAGGATCCGTTCCAAATAGTTTGATCTTGGCTACTTCCTGGCCATCTCGCTACCAAATCTAAAATTTCTAAGTTAGCATTTCCTATTGCTTGTACATTTATAGACATGTATCCTTTCCTATTCCTAAAATGTTCTCCATTTTCCCCACCAGGAGAACGAATGCGTATATGTGTACAATCAAGAGCACCCAGTGCCTTAGGAAAGCGTGCTATGTTATAAAATTGTAATTGTGCTTTTTTTAATTCTTCTTCTGAGACGGGAAATTTTATAAACTGGCGACTGAGTGACGCTATAGCCGCAGTAACTCTATGTATAATTCTGTGAGAAGTGGACTTGCTCATTCCACAGTAATCACCCATAGTTATTTGTTGTGAACCAGTAGCATAATATCTCAAAGTTAAAAGAAGTTGGTTTATTGGCGAAATCGACTTGTTTCTGTAAGCAAACAAAATTTTAGGTTAGCTTCATCCATGCCCATCATACAAATTTTTCTTCTTTTAGAAGGTTTGTGTAAAATTCACGGTAGAGATGATGGAGTGATCTTATTACTAGGGAGAAACAATGTGTGAGCTTTTAAACTATATTATAATTAGCATCCCAACATTTTAATACCTAATAATAAACACCTTACATAAGAAGTTGTTCTAGACAACAAAACAAGCATATTTTTAATAGGTACAATTCACGAAATAAGGTAATGTTAAAGTAGGTACTCACCGATTTGATGGATATTCAAGTTTATCTTCAATCATATGCAAAACATCCATACAAGATCCTTTCGTCAAACGAAACCTTGTAAAATCTACATCGTCATATTCTTCAAAATAATCACGTCGCTCTTTATGTTTTAGGACGTCGAACAATATTATCTAAACGTTCTAAATTTTCTAAAATATCATCATTTTCGTGTTCAAAAATAAAATTATACGCCGCTTCCATTTTATTTGACCAACTGACAACTAATTTGACAGCCGTTAAAAGCATTAACGGACCTTTGAAGCAGTGATTAAGTTTAACGCCTTGTTAAGAGAATTAACCATTCGTTAGTACGTGGTGAAACACTCACTACGCCTAACGGGCTGTTATTTATTTAATTGGACGTTAAAACTAACAAACAGCGTATGGTGAAACTAGCTCTAAATATAAAAGAACTCAAATAGATCACAAACTTATTAAAATAAAACACATAAATGCACGAGAAATCGGAATAATATCAAATAGATATTGATATTAAATTAAGCCTTACTACCAGTAACCGCCATTAACTGCGTAGTGCACCGCACCGCGCATAGAACATGGATGGCTTCCTATATAGACCTAATATATATACGTGCCCTCTAGTTCGATAAAAGTAAGTCTTAGTTTACGTGCCCCACACGAAAGATGGCAGCACAAAAAGATATCAATTTGTTCTCAAAATAATGTTCTAAGTTGCATGGATTGCATACGGAGGACTGAGATGACTGACGTCCCGATGTCATTGTTAAACCCGGAGTACCTTCAGCTTTTTTAATTATTGTTTATGGTCCGATCTATGCAAAATGAACTGACTATGTCCTGAGGTCTTGCAGTGGTATGCTTGGGTTTAGTTTTAATTTTATTGATTATAGGATCCCAAGCAGGTGGTAGTACCCAGCCTCCTTCTCTATTGAAATTAGGATGTTTTTTAATTTCAATAGCCTCAAGTATCATCCTTGGTAGGAATCGGTGTTCTTTCGCGAGGATTTGTGGTCTATCAAATCTGATGTAATGGTTGGGGCCGTCTAGGATATGATCACAAACTGCAGACTTCCCGGAACGTTGATGCTTCACATCAGCTATATGTTCTTTTACGCGGGTCCTAATTGATCTTTTGGTTTGTCCTATATAAGAGAGACCACATTCACAATCAAGCTTGTACACTCCTGCATCTTGTAGAGGAATATGAGACTTGACGGATGGTAGGAACTGACTAATCTTCTTCGGCGGCTTGTAGAATGTTCTAATAGAAGCTCGCTTCAAGATATAGCCAATCTTGTCTGTGACACCTCTGACATATGGTAGTACAGCAGGCACACGCTCGACTGTGGCCGGCTTCACTCGGTCACTGTGACGTAGGCGCGGGACCCGAAGCTTGTTGTCGTGCAGAACTTGCTTGACGTGCTGAAGCTCGGCGGCCAGGTGTTTGCTGTCACAGATCCCTCGTGCTCTCTGTAACAAAGATTTGCCCACGGTAGCTAACTGTGAAGGATGGTGGTGAGATTCACCGTTTAAATATCGGTTTGTATGGGTCTTTTTCCTATACACAGTGTGACCAATGGTGTTATTAGGATTTCGGATGACTAACACATCTAGGAAAGGTAAGGAATTATTTGCCTCTAACTCCATAGTAAATTGAATTTTAGCGTTTATGGAATTAAGATGTTCTAAAAATGCAGTTACTTTGTCTGATGGTAAAATTGTGAAAGTATCGTCTACGTACCGCTTGTAGATCCTTGGTGTAACAGGTGCAGTAAGGAGGGCTTTCTCCTCAAAGTCTTCCATGAATATATCGGCGACAATTGGTGATACAGGTGAGCCCATCGCCACACCATCTACTTGCTTGTAAAACTCTTCCTTCCACAATAGATAGCCAGATGTAAGGCAATGTCTTAGTAATACTGCATATTCTGCTGGCATGTTATTTTCCTCTAGTTTCCTAGTTATAATTGAGATGCAGTCTTCAACAGGTAGGCATGTAAATAGAGACTGAACATCAAAACTGACCATGGTTTCATTGTCAGTAAGATGTAGGTCTTTTATCTCACTGACAAAATGGTATGAATCCTTAGTGTGTGCTCTTGTGTGTCCTCTGAGTGGTGATAATATTTTAGCTAAGTATTGAGCCAATCTGTAAGTTGGCGAATCAATCTGACTCACTATTGGACGTAATGGAGCATTCGGTTTGTGTATCTTTGGTAACCCATACAACTTCGGTGGTTTGGCACAGGAAGGTATTATCGAATTAACGTCCAGATTCAATTTTTCGGAGTATTTCTTAATTAGATCGCTAGTTGTTTTAAGCGTATTAGTTGTAGGGTCTGACCCTACACCTAAGTTGTTTTAAGCGTATTAGTTGTAGGGTCTGACCCTACACCTAAGTTGTTTTAAGCGTATTAGTTGTAGGTACAGGTAGGTATAGGGTCTGACCCTACAACTAATACGCTTAAAACAACTTAGGTGTAGGGTCAGACCCTACAACTAATACGCTTAAAACAACTTAGGTGTAGGGTCAGACCCTACAACTAATACGCTTAAAACAACTAGCGATCTAATTAAGAAATACTCCGAAAAATTGAATCTGGACGTTAATTCGATAATACCTTCCTGTGCCAAACCACCGAAGTTGTATGGGTTACCAAAGATACACAAACCGAATGCTCCATTACGTCCAATAGTGAGTCAGATTGATTCGCCAACTTACAGATTGGCTCAATACTTAGCTAAAATATTATCACCACTCAGAGGACACACAAGAGCACACACTAAGGATTCATACCATTTTGTCAGTGAGATAAAAGACCTACATCTTACTGACAATGAAACCATGGTCAGTTTTGATGTTCAGTCTCTATTTACATGCCTACCTGTTGAAGACTGCATCTCAATTATAACTAGGAAACTAGAGGAAAATAACATGCCAGCAGAATATGCAGTATTACTAAGACATTGCCTTACATCTGGCTATCTATTGTGGAAGGAAGAGTTTTACAAGCAAGTAGATGGTGTGGCGATGGGCTCACCTGTATCTCCAATTGTCGCCGATATATTCATGGAAGACTTTGAGGAGAAAGCCCTCCTTACTGCACCTGTTACACCAAGGATCTACAAGCGGTACGTAGACGATACTTTCACAATTTTACCATCAGACAAAGTAACTGCATTTTTAGAACATCTTAATTCCATAAACGCTAAAATTCAATTTACTATGGAGTTAGAGGCAAATAATTCCTTACCTTTCCTAGATGTGTTAGTCATCCGAAATCCTAATAACACCATTGGTCACACTGTGTATAGGAAAAAGACCCATACAAACCGATATTTAAACGGTGAATCTCACCACCATCCTTCACAGTTAGCTACCGTGGGCAAATCTTTGTTACAGAGAGCACGAGGGATCTGTGACAGCAAACACCTGGCCGCCGAGCTTCAGCACGTCAAGCAAGTTCTGCACGACAACAAGCTTCGGGTCCCGCGCCTACGTCACAGTGACCGAGTGAAGCCGGCCACAGTCGAGCGTGTGCCTGCTGTACTACCATATGTCAGAGGTGTCACAGACAAGATTGGCTATATCTTGAAGCGAGCTTCTATTAGAACATTCTACAAGCCGCCGAAGAAGATTAGTCAGTTCCTACCATCCGTCAAGTCTCATATTCCTCTACAAGATGCAGGAGTGTACAAGCTTGATTGTGAATGTGGTCTCTCTTATATAGGACAAACCAAAAGATCAATTAGGACCCGCGTAAAAGAACATATAGCTGATGT